CTCAGACTCCTGTCCTAAAGAAACTGTGTGATAGCAAATGTATATACGTTAAGCCACTTAAAAAAAAAAAAAAAAAACCCAAAACAGGATTGGAAAACGCTGCTAACTGTAAAAGCTGGACTCTAAGTATAGTGGTGTTAACTGTAATAATATTCTCTTAACTACTCTTTAAGTTTGAAATTTCTATAATTAGGGGGCGAAAAAACCCCATTGCTGTCAACAGATAAAAAGCCCAAATGGATTGGTAATAAAAACCTGAAGTAAAATCTGTGACAGTAGTATGTTCCATGTGCTAATCAGAAAAATGTATATTCTGTGATTGTTGGGTGAAGAGTTCTGTATATCTATTAAGTCCAATTGGTCAAGTGCTGAGTTAAAGTTCCAGATTTCCTTGTTAGTTTTTGCCTTGATGTCTATGGCTGTTACTGGAGTAGTAAAGTCTCTGACTATAATTGTATGGTTATCTATGTTCTCTCTTAGTTTAATTAACAACTGTCTTATAAATCTGGGTGTTCCTATGTTGAGTACATATATTTTCAAGATGGGTTAATTCTTGCTGGTGGATTGAGCCTTTTATCATTACGTAGAGTCCCTTTTACCTTTTATTGGCTTAAAGTCTGTCTGTCTGCTATAAGAATAGTTACTCCTGCTTTTTTGTTTTCCATTTGCCAAGATCTTTCTCTAGCCTTTTACCTTGAGCATGTAGGTGTCTTCGCAGTGAGATGGGTTTCCTGAAGGCACCATAAGGTTGGATCGTTTCTCTAATTTGCTATTCTATGCCTTTTGAGTGGCACATTCAGTCCATTCATGTTTAACTTAATTATTAACATGTGAGGTTATATTCCTGTCATATTGTTATTAGGAAGCTGCTTTGCTTTTTAGGCTTCTGGTTGATTTGTATGGTCTATTAACTCTGTGCTTGCCTGTGCTTTTGTAATGGGTGGAACCATACTTTTATTTCTGTGAATAGAACTTTCTCAACCATTTCCTCAAGGGCTGGTCTAGAGGTGGTATTTTCTTTTTGCTATTAGATGTCTGAGAAGAATTTTGACTCTTCATTAATGCAGCTAAGCTTGGTGGGGGTAAGAAATTCTTCGCCGAAATTGCTTCTCTTTAAGAATGTTAAAAATGGGACCCTAGTCCCTTCTGGCTTGTAGGGTTTCTGCTGAGAAGTCCGCTGCAATACTGATGGGTCTTCCTCAGTAAGTGGTCTGTCCCTTCTCTCTAGCCACCTTCAGAATTTTTTCGTTCATGCTTACCTTGTGGAGACTGATTATTATGTGCCCTGGGGATGGTGTTCTCACATAATACCTCGCAGTTATCTGAATCTCTTGCGTCTGTATATTTGCCTCTCTAGTGAAATAGGGGAAATTTTCTTGGATGTCCTCTTGGAAGGCTTATTCCAGGGTGTTCTCAGTTTCCTCTTTTGTCTCAGGGACACCAATCAGCCATAGATTTGATCTCTTTACATAACCCCAAACCTATTGTAGTCTTTGCTGATTCTTCTTGAGCCCTTTCTCCTTATTTTTGTCAGACTTGGTGAGTTCAATAGTTTTATCCTTAAGCTGATATTCTTTCCTCTGCCTGGACTTTTCTCGTGCTCAGGTTTGTCATTGTTATTTGTCACTGTTATTTGAAATCCAAGGAGTTCAGATTGGACATTTCTTAGATTGCCCAGCTCATCTTTTATTTCCTGCACTGCTTTCATTAGCTGGGTAATCTGTGCTTCCATCTTCTCGTGGCTTTCCTCCACTGTTTTTGCCACCCGTAGTCTGAATTCTATGTCTGTCATCAGGGACAGGTCGTTCTGGATGGGTTCCACTGCTTGTGATCCAAGAGGTCCTTTTGTGAGTGATAACACATTAAGGCTTTGGTGATTACTAGTATTTCTTGCTGGTTCTTCCTAATCTGTGAAGACAGAGTCTTCTCTTTTTATCTTTTTGTTTTGTTGTTTTTTTAGTTAGATAAGGTAGCTACATTTGGGGTGGACTTTTGTGAGATTTATTTTGTATTTTTATTACTATTTTTTTATCACACAGAGGTTGAGTTGCATTCCTATTCCCCTGAGAGTGGTATCCTGTGAGGTCTCAACTACTGTGGGTCCTGCTGCTCTTCTGGGTCTAGCTGCCCTAGGAGGCTGCCACCATTTGGATGGTGCTGGAAGGTCCCTGTAAGGTATCCTATGATGTAAAGACACAGGGGTTGAATTATAAGGGGAGCTGGTTATTCATGTCTCTGGAGGATCCTCTGGAGAAGCTCTGATGCCTCAGTCTATGGATTGGTCTGAGAGATGTACACAGCATGGGCTTTTTTCTTATCTCCTTCTCAGAAGTTGTGTTACTATAACAGATATTGTAATGGGCTGTGCTGGTTGGCTTCCAGTCAGGAGGTGGCACTTAGAGGAAACAGTCAGCTGTGATGGTGGCTGTGGATTTTCTTGCTTGGCTTCTGTTTTCTTAGGGAAGTGTGCAGATGACCTAGCCAATGAATTGAGTTATGGGAACTCCCAGTCTAGGTCCCCAGGATTTCAAAGGTGGTGGGGGCTAAAGCTGGTTGGGGAGGGCTAGGTCACACTGGGCTGCTCTCCAGCTCCCTGTCACAGGCACAATTGCCTACTCCATTGGAAAAAGGTCCCCTGCCCACTGGGGCCACACCGCTGGGAAAGCTTAAGCCTTTTCTATTGTGCAAAATAGTTCACACAGGAAGACAGAGGTTGTCAGGAAGACAGGGGTACTGTACCTCTCCTTTTCTTGTCTGACACTGTCCATGCTCAGAACTCAAAGTTTCCAAAGCAACATTTCACCCATGAACTAGAACTGGCTGCTTTGCATTCCAATCCCCAGCTGTGAGCACTCAGTGGGGATGGGGAGAAGGGATGGGCCCCCTTGTAGGTGTGGCAGTGCTGCAGGAATGGCGGACCTCTTTGTTGCCCAAGATGTTCATGTGGGGAGAGGGGGATACCAGGACAATAAGGCTCTGCTCGACTCTCCTCCCCTTGCCAGAGGCCAGTTGTATTCAGAACTCAAAAGTTCTTTCAGCAACAGGAACTTGCCCAAACCAGAGCTGCCTGCAGTGTGAAATCTGTCCTTGGGGCAAATGAAGGCAGATGGGCTGGGGTTCCTTGCCACCCTAGAAACTGGTCTTGAATGCTGCCTTCAGGGAATGAGATCTCAGAAATGGTTTGTCTGTAGGCATGTAGAGCTCACATGGGTAGGCCATTACCCATGGGGGACTAGAGTACTGTGAAGCTCAGATGGAGAAGTCCCTCCCATTCTGTGAGCTTTCCTGACATTCTGTAACTGTTTGTCTTATTCAAAGTGGAAAATATACTCCAGACAGCCAGAAAAAAAAAAAGGAAAACAGTCTTATTGCTTATATACAGAAAGTTTAGTTGTCTGTATAAATGATCAAACCATCCATAACATTCCCTTAAACCAAAGCCTAAACTCTCTTCAATGCTATGAAGGCTGAAAGAGGTGAGAAAGTTGCAGAAGAAATGCCTGAAGCTAGCAGAGGTTGGTTCATGAGGTTTCAAGAAAGAAGCTAGAAACCATTGAGAGAGCAGGGAGACAGCCCACAAACTGGGAAAAAATATTTCCCAACTGTATATGACAAAAGTCTAACATCTAGGGTCTACAAGGTACTAAAACATGCTGAAAAGAAAAAAACAAACAGCCCCATTACAAAGTGGGCAAAAGATATGAAGAGATACTTCTCAAAAAAAGACATACGAGCAGCCAACAGATACATGAAAAAATGCTCAGACTCACTAGTCATCAAAGAAATGCAAATTAAAACCACACTGAATAACACCTATCTCCAGTCAGGATGGCCATCATCAATAACTCAAAAAACAAGATGCTAGAGAGGATGTGGCCAAAAGGGAATACTTCTACACTGTTGCTGTGAGTGTAAACTAGTACAGCCTCTGTGGAAAACAGAGTGGTGATTCCCAGAATCCACCTCCCATACAACCCCGCAATTCCCCTACTGGGAACATACCCAGAGGAACTCAAATCACTCTATGAAAAAGAAACCTACATACACATGTTTATTGTAGCATTAGTCACAATAGCAAAAACATGGAATCAACCGTGCTGTCCATTGAAAGAGAACTAGATAAAAAAAAAAAGTGATACATATACACAATGGAATATTACGCAGCCATAAAGAAGGACAAAATTATGAACTTTGCAGCAACTTGGATGGCCTTAGAATCTATAATACACAGAAATAAAGAACTGAGTATCACATGTTATCACTCATAAGCAGACCTTGAGCAATTACCATAAAACCGTAAGAAAAGGATTGGCAATAGTGGGAATCTGCCAGGGGAGCGGGGTTGACTTCATCAACCAGGGTACCTGCATAATGAACATTTGTATACTTAACCCTGAATTGTACTCCACAACTTTAAAATCAAAAATTAAAAAAAAAAAGAAAAAAGAAAGAGGCCATCTTCTTAACATAAAAGGTGAAGCAGCAAGTGCTGATGTAGAAGTAGCAACAAGTTAACCAGAAGATCTAGCTAAGATTATTGATTGGCTACAGATTTTTGCATCTTCTACTTTACAACTAAAGACAAAAATATAGTTGGCTCCAAGTAGACAAAACAGGGGACTTCACAGAAACTACATGGCCCTTTTGTAAATAAGTGGCTACAATAAAATAACTTTTTTACTGCGTTCCGTTCATTAAGAAACAATTTACCATTTTTACTGAGTATAATGCAGTGTCTATGAGGATAAAATGGTTATGATAATCTCTTCATAATCTAGATTATTACAATGTAATGTATGACAAGCATATTTATCTATAATAATAAAAGCACAAAATATTACCTAGAAAGAAAAAAGTTGAGTGATTTCCCAGTAATATAAATAAAATTTAGGAAATTTAAAGGAGGCCAAATGGATCTTGTAATTTTTTAAAAAATCATTAAATTATTTTACCATTACTTTGCTTACAAAATAATACAAATGTACAAATAAGAATCTTACTTTCAGGTGTTTCTTTCTGCCATTGACTGAGCTCAGCAGTTAAACATTTCACTTGCATAATTAATAATGATAGCTACAAGAAAAGAGAGAAAGTTTTCTGTAGAATATTAATACCTATTCATAGATAAAATACAGACATACTTAGTACTAACACTTTATTTAGTACTAGTTCCTAATATACATGGCTAACAAAATAGTCACTCCTAAACTATAAAAAATTATCACTACAAACAGAATTCTGCTTTAAACTTTACTAATTATAACTAATAAATTACATGCTATACCAGTATAAATTTCATATTAAAAAATGATAAATTTTTCTTTACCACTCAAACTAAAAGAACTTAATATACACTAAATTTATTTCCTAAAGAAATATATCTTAAAATAAAAAAGCATGTCATTTCTTGCCAATTTTTTAGACAAATTTGCTTCTAATATGTTCTTTCTCCTCTCTATGTCCTTTCAGAAAAAAATGTTTTTATTTAAGTAGTAAAAAAAAATTTAAATACCTATATAGAGACAATTACAAAATGAGACTCATTCAACAAGCCACATATAAAAACCATATTTATTGCACAATAGTTTGTAAACTGTGTAACCCTTAGTCAAAGATAAATTAGGGTATGTGTTTGGTATCAGGTGACTCTAGTCATTTTAATTTTGATAATTACAAACCTACGTGAAAATCTGTTGACTGAGTAGACAATAAAATTAGAACTTATGGAGGCTTATAATTAAATTTCAGACCATTCTTTATCTTCTATTTATAATTGTATTGATACAAGACAAAATCAAAAATGCAGTGGCTATTACTATAGTATGTACACTAAAAGGGAACTAAATACTGTCTTTTGTAAGGCACAGTAGTATGTTAAAATTGCTTGTTGAAATATATCAGAAGCCAAGCATGGTGGTATACGCCTGAAGTCCCAGCTACTCAGGAGGCTGAGGCAGGAAGATCACTTGAGCCTAGGAGTTCAACACAAGCCTGGGAAACAGAGCAAGACTTCGTCTCTATACAAAATACAAAAAATTAGCCAAGTGTGGTAGTGCAACCCTGTAGTCCCAGCTACTGCGGAGGCTGAGGCGGAAGGATTGCCTGAACCCGGGAGGGCGAGGCTGTGGTGAGTTGTGATGGGGCCACTACACTCCAGCCTGGGCAAGAGAGTAAGAACCTGATTCAGAAAAAGAAAAAAATCAGAACAACAACAACAACAACAAATCTCTTTGAAAGTTTTATAGAATTACACAAAAATGGGCAGGGCATGATGGCTAATGCCTATAATCCTAGCACTTTGGAGGCTGAGGTAGGAAGATTGTTTGAGGTCAGGAGGACAAGACCAGCCTGGGCAACACTGAGATCTGGCTCTCAAAAAACTAAAAACAAAAATCTACCAGGCATTGTACTATGTGGCCGAGGCAGGAGGATCACTTGAGCACAGGAGTTCAAGGAATCAAGCCACTGTACTCCATCCTGGGCCAGAGAGTAAGACCCTGTCTCTTGGGTAAAAAAAAAAGTGTGTATATATAAATGCGTTTACAGGTATTTAAAATCTTTACCAAGGGAGAGTTTAACTTTTTTTTAAACAGATAATTAAATAATAAGAATGTGAAAAAAATTATTTGTGGACTACATTGAACATGATTTACAAATGTTATTATTACTAGGAAAAGATAACACATTTTTAAAAAGTAGTATTTAAGCTAGGCAAATCAATCATGTAACCATAATGAATCCATATCACTTTTGCTCATATAAAACATGCAAAATGATTGATAATCTTTTTTTTTTTTTGAGTGAGAGTCTCACTCTGTTGCCCAGGCTAGAGAGTGCTGTGGCACAATCATGGAACTCACAGACTCTATGGCCTGGGTTCAGGGAATCCTCCTCCTTCAGTCTCCTCAGTAGCTGGGACTACAGGCATGCACCACCATGGCTGGTTAATTTTTTAATTTTTTGTAGAGATGAGGTCTGTGTTGCTCAGGTTGGTCTCAAGCTCCTGGGCTCAAGCAATCTTCCCATCTTGGTCTCCTAAAGTGCTGGGATTATAGGCATGAGCCATCATGCCAGGCCTCATTTTAAACCTAAAAAACACAGTAATTGCATACAGTTCAATCTCATACTATATTGATAAAACAAAGCTCTTAGCTTGCCAAAGTCCTACAAGGCAAGCATCACAATATTTCTTATATTGTTATAAAATTAAACATTCCTTTCTTTAGAAGAAAATAACACTAGTAATTCTAAAATAATTTAAACACAAAAATTTGAGAAATCCTACCAGTTTTTCAATTAAAGTATCTAATTTCTTGCTTTAGAAAATGGATTGGGTTTTAATATTGAAGTTTTGAAGTTTGTAAGTGTGCTGAAGAGCAAGCCCGAGACTGCTATCCTTAGAAAGGCCTTATTGCAACATTGGCCCATGGCCAGCATCTGGGAATTTTGATTTCTAGATGGTGCCCATCAACCAAACTAGTAAGGGTGGCTCAGTGTCCCTAATCTGGTTGTGTAAAGAATACGGTTTATGCTGAATACCTGCTTTCCTTCTGATAGTCTGGTATTTTGGTACCTTCTGGGAAAAGGGTGCATGTGTGACCAACTACCACATAAAACTTTGGACACAGTCTCTAATGAGGTTCCCTGGTAGACAACATTTCATACGTTTTGTTACAGTTCATTGCTGAGAGAACTAAGCAGGTCCTGTGTGACTCCACTGGGAGAAAAATCCTGAAAGTCTGTGCCTGGTTTCCTCTGGATTTTACCCTATGCTTCTTTTCCCTTTCTTCATTTTATTCTGTATCCTTGCGTTATGAGTATACTATATATGAGTACTGTGAGTCTTCCTAGAAAAACATCAAAGCTGTGAGTTGTCTTGGGGACCCTCAACAGGAAATCACATATTGTGAGTCTTGAATATTTTTAACTATCTCAAGTCATTGCATGTTTATAACTACATAAGCACTCCCCTAAAGTCAATGTTTGTTCAGTGCATGAAAATAATTCAAGAAGCTTATCAGCCCAATCCCTAGTGATTCTGATTCAGTAGGTCTCAATTTCTACAATGCAGGAACTACATTTCCAAAAGAAACAAGATGATAGTATACTCACTATATAACATTTTTGCAAGTATAATATTCACTTTTATCCCATATATTAGGGTATATAGAATCACAATTTTTTATGGACACAGATGACTTAATTTTATATCTTATATTTTTATACCATGGATCTAGTGTAACAAGCATCTCCAAAAGTAATAAATTCATTTTTCCCTTTCTTTCTCTCATTTTTAACTCAGTACTATCATATTCATGAACTTTTAATTTTTATATTTTTACAATAAATTAAAGCCATTGTTCTTTATGATACTAAATATGGAAAGCAACAGTATCCTCAGCTTGGCACTTCTGTCTTTTGAGATAGCCCCACCAGTTTTGGGGAACTATATATTTGACTTTGTCCTTAGTGTCTTTATCACTAAAATGCTTTTTAACTTTTTATATGGCGAAATACACTTAACTTTTATGCCTAGATTTCTATTATTATCCAAGTTTTCTCCTGTCACTGGTTTGCACAAATATTCTCCTAGCTTTTCTAAAATATTATTTTGGTACTCTAACTGTGATGTCTGTTTACAGGCTGAGCATCCCAAATCAGAAAATCTAAAATCTGAAATGCTCCAAAATCCAAAATTTTTTGAGTACCCACACAACACTCAAAGGAAATGCTCATTGGAGCAATTGGATTTTAAATTTTCAGATTTTAGATGCATAACCTGTAAGTGTAGGTAAATATTTCAGAATCTGAAAAAATCCAAAATACCTTGTCCTAAGAATTTCAGATATGAAATACTCAATCTGTATATAATGAAAAATAGAGCTCCAATTGTATTTTCTTCCACATGGATATCTACTTGTATCACTATCTCTTATTAACTAATTCATCCTTTTCTCACAGATTTAAATGATCATTTGTTATATAGTAGTCCCCCCTTATCTGTAGTTTCACTTTCTGTGGTTTCAGTTACCTGTAGTCAATCTCATTCTGAAAATATTATATATAATAAAATATTTTAAGAGAGACCACTGGCCAGGCATGGTGGCTCACACCTGTAATCCCAGCACCAAGGTGATGTGACTGTCTGAGACCATGGATTCCACAACAGACTGGGCAACTTGGTGACACCTCATCTCTACAATAAATAAAAAAACTAGCCAGGTGTGGTAGCGCACGCCTATAGTTCCAGATACTAGGAAGGCTGAGGTGGAAGGATTGCCTGAGCCCAGCAGGTCAACGATGGGTTGGCTGTGAGTGTGCCACTGCACTCCAGCCTGGGCGATGGAGTGAGACTCCAACTCCAAAAAAAAAAAAAAAAAAAGGAGAGAGAGAGAGACCACATTCCCATAACTTTCATTAGAGTATATTGTTACAATTGTTCTATTTTATGTTGCTGTTAATCTATTACTGTGCCTAATTTATAAATAAAGTTTGTCATAGGTATGCATGCATAGGAAAAAAACATGCACATAGGATTCAGTACTATCTGTGGTTTCAGGCTTCCCCTGGAGATCTAAGAACATATCCCCATAGATAAGAGGCAACTACTACAGAGCTGACCCTTGAATAACATGAGTTTTTGAACAGCATTGGTTCACTTATATGTGGCTTTTCTTATGCACCTTCTCTTCCTCAGCATACTCAAATGTGAAGATGATGAGGACGAAGACCTTTATGAGGATCTATTTCTTCTTAATGAATAGTAAGTATATTTTCTCTTCCTTATAATTTTCTTAATCACATTTTCAAGTCTCTAGCTTCATTGTAAGAATATATAATACAAATAACATACAAAATATGTGCTTATGCTATCAGTAAGACTTATGGCCAATAGTAAGCTATTAGTAGTTAAGTTTGGGGAGTCAAAAGATATACCTGAATGTTCAACTTCACAGGAAGTTGGCACCCCTGATCCCCATTTTGTTCAAGTGTCAATTGTATTTTAATTCTCAATCTGTTCCACAGATTCATTAATCTACTCCTAAACTAACACCGCAATTCTCTGATGACTATAATGGATATGTCAATCCTTTTTTAAGCATAGGGTAAAATCAATTAAGATTCTCCATAGTAAAATATCTGCAGCTATTATATCTAACACAAAGTAGGATAGTCTTTGTTCTAATTTTTAACAAGTTATCATAATAGCAATCAACAAACAATTCACTCAGTTGTTAAATATAGGTATAGCTGTTAAAAGGCAAAGAATAAAGAAAATGCTCTCTTATTTATAACAGCTTCTTACAAAAAGATTTTAGAATACTTCTTTCAACTCAAAGCAGAAAGAGTAGTAAGTTTTTGTTTCCAAAGTACAATGAATTCCACTTACCTATTTTTAGGAAGAAATAAAGATTCATACCTGAGCATTTGAATCAGTGAGTGTCTCAGTTCCAATAAGCGATAATTTATTCTGACACTTGATTTTAAAAGTAAAAAAAAAAGTAAATCACATACTATAAGTTATAGACAATTCCCTTTCCCATCCTTTTTGTACCAATCCAATGTAATACTTCTCTAAGACAATATACAAATATCTGATATGCAAGTTTAAATTCCTCACTTTCTAAAAGTCCAATGCTGTAGTCCCAGCACTTTGGGAGGCTGAGATGAGAGGAATGCTTGAGTTCAGAAGTTTGAGACTAGCCTGAGCAATATAGCAAGACCTCGTTCTCTACAAAAAAAAATTTTAAAAATCGTAGTCCCGGCTACTTGGGAGGCTGGGGTGGAAGGATCATCTGATCCCAGGAGGTCGACGCTACAGTAAGCTGTAACCATGCCACTGCATAATATAGTGAACCAAAAGCAGTTCTCTCACTAATTCAGAAAAAGTATACATATTTCAAACTCTACATTTTCTAATTTTTTTTTTTCAAGATTTTAGAGACAAGATCTTACTCTGGCCCAGGCTGGAGTGCAGTGGCACAATCATAGCTCACTGTGGCATCAAACTCCTGGGCCCAATGCAACCCTCCCACCTCAGTCTCCCACTTGGGATTACAAGCATCAGCCACTATGGCTGGCAAACATTTTCTAAATTGATTCACGTTTTCCATCATAATTATGTTTTCTTTCCACTTTTATATTCTCTATTTGTGGAAATAACCCCACCAACTACCCAATGGCCCAAACCAGGAACCTGAAATGAACTATGATTTTTCCCTTCCATTTCACATCAATTAACTTCTAAGTTCTTTTGGTCCTTCCTCCTTAATATCTCTTGAATCCATTCTTATGTTTGCAATGACAGTATGTAAACCTTCATTACTTTTTTACTAGGACTACTATAGAGCCTTATAAATGTTCTTTCTACCTCACTCACTCCTCACACTCCATTTTCTTCAAAGTCACCAGAGTAGTTTTCTAAGACTGCATATTTAATCATGTCACTTACATACTTATAATCCTTTAATGGTTCCTTATAGTATATTCAATAAAATCCTGTATGTTCTAGCCCAATTACCTCTCCAATCTAACTCAGAAGTCCTTCTTGTCCTAATTTACATTGTCCATAATATTCTATTTAAACACGCTCAACTCTCCCAACTTTTACATATTTTGTTCTTTCTGCTTTGTACATCTCTCCTAGTTTTAGAGCAAACTCCTATTTATCCTCTAGAAATGACATCAGTAATTGCCCCTTTTAGAAAGCAATTCAAGATCCCCTTCAGCCTGTATTTAGTATTCCTCCTAAACGTAGACTTTACATTTCCAACACAACATTTCTAATATTATATTACACTGTAATGTAACGGCTGTGCTTTCAAAAGATGATAATCTCTTTGAGGGCAGGGACTGTCATAATTTTTTCTTTCTATAGCTCATCTAGTATGAAGTTTCTTGAATGAATGCTTACAGGTTTAAAAACTATATAAATATTTATCATACATAATAATGGCTTTTGTGAACAGCATAATCATTTCTTTCCTAAGTCTAATTATGATTGAAATTGATTTAAATCTTATATTAACTTATTATTACTTTGATCTTTTGATACTTACTTCTTCCATATCTTTCCACATTTCTTCACACTCTTTAATAAGTTCTTCTTCAGTATTTATAACATCTTCCACATCTGTAGTACTATCTGGATCTAGGTCTTGCTGATCCATTGACATATGCTTTGGGATTTTCTTAGCTTTATGATAAGAAAAACTAAAGTAAAAATATTTATTAATTCAGCAGTATTTGTTGAATACTTGTTGAATACCTGTCAGATATTCATCTAGGCACTTAGGATATAGCAGTGAACAGAATAGACAAACACCTCTTCTACCATAAAGATTATTCTAATTAAGGAAATAGACAATAAACCAAAAAATAAATAGTATAGTATATAAAATGATTTATAAATGCCATGGAAAAAAGGCAGAAAAAAAAACATAGGAATGCTAGAACAGGGATAATATAATGTGAAATAAGGTCACTGACAATTTGACAATTGAGTAAAAAGAAATGATGGATGGAGATACGCAAGTTGAGGTATGGAAACATAGAAGGGAAGAGGCTCCAGGCAGAGAGAACTGCAAGTGCAAAGGCCTTGAGGCAAGAATATGACTACTATGTTCCTAGAACAGTGAAGCAGCCAATGTGACAAGCAGATTAAGTAAGGCAGAGAGTTGAAGATGAGGCCAGAAAGAAGTGGTGCGATTATAAGGACTTTGTAGGCCATTTTAAGAGCTTAGACTAACATGATAACCAATTAGAAAGTTTGAAATAGAGGAATGATATTATTTGAAAAATATTTTTAATAGTACAACTCTGGTTCACTACAGCCAATAAGGACAGAAGCAGGAAAATTAGTTAGAAAGTTATTGCAACAAACCAAGCAAGACTGTACACCAAGATATTGACAGAGGCAGTATAAGATGTCCAATTCTGGATATATTTTCAAGATAGAGCCAAAAGGATTTCTTAACAGTATGTATATAGAGTGTCAACGATAGAGAACAGTCAAGTATTACTAAAACACTTTGGGCCTAAGCAATTGGAAGGATGGAGACGTCAGTTACTGAGATGGGGAAGACAGTGAAAGAAACAGATTTGGCAAAATATGGGAGGAATGCTGATTAAGAATTGAGTTTAAGCCGGGCTCGGTGGCTCAGCCTGTAATCCCGCGCCTTTGGGAGGCTGAGGTGAGTGGATTGCCTGAGCCTGCGGGTTCAAGACCCACCTGGGCAGGCGAGACCTCATCTCTACAATAAATCAAAAAATCAGCCAGGCATGGTAGTGCGTGCCTATAATTCCAGCTACTCGGAAGGCTGAGGCGGAAGGATCTGCAGGTCGAGGCTGCGGTGGCCAGGAGCGGCCACTGCACTCCAGTCTGGGAGACAGAGTGAGACTCCAACTCAAAAAAAAAAAAAAAGAATTGAGTTTAAGACATACTAAATTTGAGGTATCTATAAGGATAATTGCTGATTAAACAATTGGACATACATTTCTATAGTTCAAGGGAAAGTTTCAAACTAGAGATATTAATTTGAGAGCCATCATCACACAGATAAGAGTCCTGCACTGCATAATGATGCTTTGTTTTTGTTCTTAGTCAGGAGTCTCACTCTGTCGCCCTGGGTGAAGTGTATGGCACCCTCATGGCTAACCAAAGCCTTGATTTTCTGGGCTCAGGCGATCCTTCTGTAGCTAGGACTACAGATGTACACCACCACACTAGGCTAATTTTTTTATTTTTTGTAGAGAGGAGGTCTCACTATGTTGCCCAGGCTGGTCTCGAACTCCTGGGTTCAAGGGATTCTCTTGCTTCAGCCTCCCAGTGCTTGGATTATAGGCATAAGCCACTGCACCCAGGCATAACAATATTTTGATCAACCACAGACTACATATATGGCAGTGATCCCATAAGATTATAATGGAGTTTTAAAAATTCCTATTGCCTACTAATACATTGATGATCATCCTGACACTGTAAAGGCCTAGGCTTATGTGTGTATTTGTGTATTAGTTTTTAACAGAAAAGTTTAAAAATAAATGCAAATAATTTTAAATAGCAAAAAGCTTATATAATAAAGACATAAAAAAGAAAATGCTTTTGTATAGTTGTACAATGCATATGTTTTAATCTAAGTATTATAAAAAAAAGGGTCAAAAAGTTTAAGAAATTAAAAGTTTATAAAGTAAAAAAGTTATAGTACACTAAAGTCGATAATTATTGAAGAAACATTTTAAAATACATTTAATGTAGCCTAAGTGTAAAGTGTTTACAAAGTCCACAGAAGTATACAATAATGTCCTAGGCCTTCACAGTCACTCACTATCTCTGACTCACATGGAACAACTTCGGTATTGTAAGCTCCATTCATGGTAAGTACCCTAACAGGTATTCCATTTTTCAAACCTTTCATAACATATGTTTTACTGTATCTTTTCTATGTTTAGATATGTTTAAACACACAAATATCATTCTATTAACAACTGTCCACCATTTTCAGTCCAGTAACATGCTGGACAGGTTTGTAGCACAGGAGCAATGGTCTATATAATACAGCCTAGATATTCAGTAGGCTATACCATCGACGGTTGGGTAAGTACTCTGATTTTCACACAACAAAAATTGTCTAATGATGCATTTCTCAGAATGTATCCCCATTGTCAAGTGACATATAACTGTACTTAAAGCCATAAGGCTGGGTGAAATAAGGAGAGTGTACAGCTAGAAATGAGAAGATCTCCAGACCCAGAGAGATTGTAGAGGTGAGAAAGAATCTTCTAAATAGTCCAAGAAGGAGCACCCAATAAGGTAAGAGAAAAATCAATAGTAAGATATCCTGAAATCCAAGAAAGTATTCAAGGAAGGAGTGATGAACCGTCAAACACTGGAGATAGGTCAAGTAAATTGATAATTGATAATTTATTTAGTAATATGGATGGGCAGATCATATTTCCCAAAAATAGTCACAGCAATATTTTAGGTTGTCACTACTCCTCGAGGCAGAGTCTTTTTCCTCCCTGTGAATCTGAGTGTGACTTTAACTGTTGTTATGAACAGAATACAATGGAAATGACATCACATGACTTTCAAGACCAGATCATAAAAGGCAGTATAGCTTACATCTGACTCTCTCAGAACACTCACTCATGCAACACTCTTGCTGTGAGAAAGCCCAAACTAGCACAAATTGAAGACACCACATGGAGAAGTCCATGTGGCAAGGTACTAAGGTTCCCAGCTAAAAGCTAACATCAATTCCTAGACATGCACATGAATAACTTTTCTGGTGATTCAGTCCCAAGGCTTTGAATCTTCTAGCCAAAGCCCCACACACTGTGAAGCAGACAAGCTGGCGCCTACCATGTCCTGCGTAAATTCCTAATGTACAGAATCCATGAGCTTAATAAATGGTTGTCTACATCTCTATATTTTGGGGACATTTATCACAATAATTTTATTGGAGTAAACACAAAAATGGACACCACTGTTAACCTTTATAAGAGCAGGTCAATAGAATGGTAAGAGTGAAAGCCTTGGAGTGGACTTGAGAGAGAACGGAAGGATTTGAAAATATTCAGTATATAAAATGTTTTTAAGAATTTTTTTCCTAAAGGAAAAGAGAGAAATAAGGTTACTAGCAAGGGGAAGATATGGGGTTTAAAGTGACTTTTTTTTTTTTAAGATGGGAGAAAATACAGCATCTTTATATGATATGGTAAAAGAAGAAAATACTGCTGATACAGGAGAGAAAGGAAAGAATGAAGAATGGGATCTAGCACAAAAGTAGAGAGGTTGGCTTAAGATAAATGTATAAGCCATTCATATCAAGAGTGTAGATTCAGATAATTGAGCAGATGTGTTGATAGGAGCTTGTGGGTTGTTTCTCTTTTCTCAGTAAAATGGTAACTAAGGTCATCAGCTGTAAATGGTAATGAGGAGAAAGTATTGGAAGTTTAAGAGCAGAAGAAAAGAAATACATAAAATAGATATATGAGAATGGGAGAGGTTAATGTTATAGGATTACTGTGTAGCATTGCAGGCCCATTGAGATTAGTAGTCACAAGTTTAAACTGACACCAAAGCATGGTTGTGTGTTTGCCTCTATAGCAGGGGTCGGCCTCACAGCAGGACTAGCCAGCAAAGCTTCATCTGCATTTATAGGCACTCTCCATCGCTGGTACGACCACCTAAGCTTCACCTCCTCTCAGATCAGCAACTGCATTAGATTCTCACAGGAGTGCAAACCCTATTGTGAACTGCACTTGCCAGGATCTAGGTTATGCACTCCTTACGAGAATCTAATGGCTGATGATTAGATTCTAATCATTAGAATCTAATGCCAGTGATGATAGCGCTGGGGAGCAGCTACAAATACAGATTAATATTAGCAGCAAGGTTTGACTGCATATCCCCACACCCCATCTGTGGAAAAATGTCTTCCTTGAAACCAGTCCCCAATGCCAAAAAGGTTGGAAACCACTGCTCTATAGTGTGGTAGCACAGGTACAGACACAGACAAAGTGAAAGAATGACCACAGAAGTGAGTAGCTAAGATAAAATGGAGAATATAATCACTAGAGGAGAGAAAGTCAAGAAAAAGAGAGTTCAAGTTATTGAAAGGATCATCTACAAGGATATTAAATAACTTAATAACCTTATAGATTATGAAAGTAGTACTTCATGATATAGTATCCTTATAGATTATGACAGTAGTACTTATGATATTTATGATAGTAATACTGCAAAAAGTAACAGTGAGCCAGGAGCTACAAATCAAGGAATGAGGTTGAATAACACAATCTTGCTAAAAATGACTCCTGCAAAAAATGGTAGGTAGTATAATGTGGTGGCATGAGATAAAAATTGAGCAATTTTAAGGAAGCAGCGAGAACAATAAGGAATGATGATGACATCTACCCCACAACATAACCAGAATACTTCCCCTCCAAAATTTTTATTCAGATGGAACTTTTAAGTTTTATATTGTTCAATCAATAATTAACAGATAAGTTTTAAAGAAGACATAAATAAATGGAAAGTTATGTCAAGTTCATAGAATGGAAGACTCATATTGCAAAGATGTTAATTCTCCCCAAGTTGGTCAACCAAATCGTTTTTTAAAATTTATTTTATTTTAAAGATGTGGGGTACAATTCAGGATTAAGTATACAAGCGGACATTGTACAAATCCTAAAACTTTCAGTTTCTTTTTTTCAATGGCATTTGACAAATAAATTCTAAAATTTATATGTAAGTACAAAGGATATAAACAGCCAAGACCCTGATGAAAACTATGATAAGCGAACTTGCCCTGCCAGGTACTAAACTTCTTATGTAACTGTATTAATTATGACTATGGAATTGGCACATGAATAGACAAACTGAACAACAGAACACAATACAAAGTCTTTCTTGACTTTCTAGACTCACATGCATGGACATGTGACTTGTAACAGAGATGAAAACACAAATCAAGGGGAAAAATAATAATCCAAATGGAAACATATTTTATATATAGTACTGCTTTTTTCCCCTATATATTTTAGCCCATATATATCTCTCTCATTCTTTTTAGCAAACTGAATATTATTTGGGGAGAAAAAGCTCTGGATTCATATCTCAATATTTGCATCACTCCTCATTTCCTCAAAAAATCTAAAAACAGAAATCATTAAAAAAAAAAAAACAGAAAGAAAACATGGAGAATTTCTTAAAATCTTGAATTAGAAAATACCTTTCTAAGCAAAACTAAGTAAAATCTCTACATAAAGATTTTTAAGTTCTGCATGGACAAAGATCTCACCAAAAAGGTTAAAACTGAAAACCCCCAAACTTAGTAAAAACATTTCTAATATATATGGCAGCCCAAGACCTAATATTCTTAGAGTATAATGAGAATGGCTAAAACTTCATAATAAAAAACAAACCTAATATATAACAAAAAAACCAACTAAAAAATTATTACCACAAAAGTCAGGACACCAATTACTTGTGGAGGGAGGTGGGAAGAGAGGAACGACGGGTTGATACAGATGGGCCAAATGGAAAGACCTCCAAAATGATTATCAAAGTTTTATTTCTTGACTTGTATGGTGGTAAGTTACCTTATGATAATTCATGAACTTACATTTATTTTGTATAGGTTTGTGTCTACATTTTATAATAAAAAGGCAAATAACAAAAATAATCCAATGGAAATGAGAATGGAAAGCTGGTCATAGTGGCTCATGCCTGTAATTCCAGCACTTAGCGAGAGCAAGAAAAGAGCCTTGCTTGAGTCCAGGAGTTAGAGACCAGCCTAAGCAACATAGCCAGACCTTGTCTCTACCAAACAAACAAAAATCAAAAAATGTGTCAGGCGTGGTGGTGCTTGCCTGTATTCCCAGTTATTTGGAAGGCTAAGATAGAAGGATCGCCGGAGCCTGGGAGGTTAAGGCTGTGCCTGGGCAACAGAGTAAGACTCTGACTCAATAAATAAATAAATAAATAGATAAATAAATAAAATGGGCAAAAGACACAAAGAATTCAAAGAAAAAAGAACAATTACCTTTTAAATATAGAAAAAATGCATTCTTAATCTCACACATAATTTACGAAACTGAAAATTACACAAGTATGATTTTTCATTGAGACTGGCAATAATGTAAAATTTGATAAGAAACAATATTGAGAAACATGTAAAACAAAAGTCATGCAACTACTTTGTAGGATAATAGGTAATATCCATAAAAAAATTAAATACATTTATTTTAATCCAGAAATTCTAGTCCCAGGAATAATCCTACAGAGAGATATGCTTGTATAAGTCTACCTAAATATGCTTATTCCTTCATTATTTATTTAAAAAATTACAAATGTATGAATTCTGTAACCAGTCTAGCTTTAAATCACTGCTTTGATACTTACAAGCTGTGGAACTTGGACAAGTCACTTGAATTTTCTGTGCCTCAATTTCTGTATCTGTAAAATGAAGTTAATAATGTTACATATTCCATAAGGTTGTTATGACAATTAAATGAGTTTATACATATAAAGTTCTTACAATTGTACCTAGCATGTAAAGAGCTTTATTGGTGTTAGCTATTAACAATATGAATGTCAATTACAAGGCTAAACATCTTACCTCTTATGCTCATAAGATATAGTTTAAGTTCACAAAGCCAAAACAAATCATTAATGATTTAGAATATTTTAAAGCAGAAAAGCAAAACTTTATATGAATATGTCTAATTTATCTTAAATCAGAAATTAAATACAAATTAATCTTTCCCAACTTTGTAAAATACTGACCACTAAAATATATAATCAATATGCACAAGTAATGCAAAATTATGTGTGTGTATATGTCTGCACACGTGTCTGCACGTGTGCAGACAGCTATTCAAGAAATTAGCTGGCTTGGAAATTCAATGTAGCAGTAGAATAGAAATATTAAGGATTTGTTTTTTCTGCCATGTAAAAACACAAGAAATGAGCTGTCTGCAACTTGGCAAAGGGCCCTCACCAGAACAGAAAATGCTGGCACCCTGATCTTGAACCCCTAGCTTCCAGAACTGAGAAATAAATTTCTACTGTTTAATTCAAAATTTTTTTTAAAAAGTCCGCATGCTTAAAAGATGTACCTTTATCTCCTTCTCACATTTTGTATTCATAAGCCTATCTCTCTGGAAAGAGAAGAATTTTTTGAGATTCCCAGTTAGGACTACAATACTCAAGCATTTATTGAAGAACAACAACATCACTTTATTTAGGAATAACATTATGCCATATCAGCTTAAAGAAACTCCTACTATTAACTGGGAACAGTCTAATACTCATGAAATAAGTAAAAGTACCCATACAGTTCTAAAATATATTCATTTATTCAACAAATATGCTCTTAATTTATGTCATGTGTCTGATGTCGGTTATAGTTATGTAGATGAAAAGTTTCTGTCCTTGGGGAGCTTACATTCTCACAAAGGAGGGACAATATAAATAAGTGATACGATTTCAGGTAATTAGAAGCGCTATAAAGGAGGTAAGTTATATAACACAGACTGTAAATACTTTCAGAATTCAAGGTAGTGGTTAGAGTAACCTACATGGAAGAAAGGAATTAGTACATAATAACATTTCATAAATGTTAACTCGCTCCCTACCATTATTATCAACTTGAGCCTCATTATTATTGCCATGATCGCTGAAAGATGAGAAGTTGTAAAGGTGAAAGCTAGACTGCTGTGGAGATGCTCTCAAGCACAAAAACATTAAACTGGGTTGGGGTGCAGTGGCTCATGCCTAAAACCCCAGCTCTTTAGGAGGCAGAGGCAGGAGGACTGCTTGGGCCCCAGGAGTTCAAGACCAGCCTAGGCAACATAGCGAGAACTCAGCTCTACAAAAATATTTTAAAAATTAGCCAGGTTTGGTGGTACATGCCTGTAGTCCCAGCTACTCAGGAGGCTGAGGCAGAAGGATGGTCTGAGCCCAACAGATCAAGGCTGCAGTGAGCTTTGAGGGTACCACTGTACTCCAGCATAAGTGACAGAGTGAGACCCTGACTGAAAAAAAAAAGAAAAAAAAAAAAAGGGCAAGGAAATTTGTGAGACACAAAACCTAGTGGTCTAACAAGAGCAAAAGGTAGAGAAGAAATGAGACTTGCTAGGTAGAGCGATCAAATAATAGAAGCCTCTGAAATTAAAAAAAAAAATTAAAACTTAAAAATAAGTGCCTACTGTAGGCAGTTCCTTCCTTAAATCTGGTGCCTACCTCAAGGCAAAACGTAGCAAAGATTCCCTTGGATAAAAATAGGCAGCCATGAGGCTTTTGAAAGCAGTACTGTAAGAAGGCAATTTTGGCAAGCTGCATGTGATGGATTTAAAAAAGAGATTAAAGGCAGGCGCGGTGGCTCAAACCTCAAATCCCAGCATTTCGGGAGGGCGAAGGGGGAGGGCTGCTTGAGCCCAGGAGTTCGACACCAGCTTGAGCAGCAAAGCGAGACAAAAAAAAGCAAAAACAATTAGCCAGCGGTGGTGCGCACCTGTAGTCCCCCGAGCCGGTGGCACCAGTTACTAGGGAGGCTGAGGCAGAAGGATGGCCAGAGCCCAGGAGGTCGAGGCTGCGGTGGCCGGGAGTGGCCACTGCACTCCAGCCTGGGCGACAGAGTGAGACCCTGACCCAAAAAGATTAAGATAGTAATTTTACAATATGGGGGTGGGGAAGCAGAGTCCAGATGACCGCAGAGAGATGACAGCCTGGACCTTGGGGGGGGGGGGGCGGAGACAGAGGACTACCAGTCCCGCCGTGAGCCAATCAGGTTACTCGAGGCGACTGGTTCTCCACCCCCACCCTCGAAAACAGTAACGAGCACGCCCCACCAGCTTCAGGGAGGGGGTGAGAGCATAAAGTTAGGAGAGAAGACGCGTTTGGGAAACTTGGAGGGAAACTCGCAAGTCAGCCGGTTCCTTCCGTTCAGTCCCGTCTATCAGTGCCCCACCCCCACCCCCATCTTTCTCTGGTAACCGGCGGGGTTGCAGAGAAGCACGAGACTCAAAACCCGGCGTGGACTTCAGGTACCCAGGTCCCAGGCGGTATGGGTCCCCCCTCGGGGCTGGAGTTCCAGGTCCTGTGAGCTGCCTGCCCTGGCGGCAAGCTTCAGCCATCCCGCGCTCCCCCCAGCATTTCTCTTACCACCACAGAGCAGCCGCCTTCAGGGCGTCTCAGCCCTGTGTCGCCAGCGCTTCTCGGGCAGCGGCTGTGCGCGCGCTGCTTGCTGATTGGGTCCGCTCCTGCCCACTCCAGCCAATCCCGAGCTCGCTCGGACGCTGACGCGGAGTCTGCGCCGCTGCTCCGCGGTTGGTCACCCAGCTGTGAGTCGCGCCTTTATGGCGATTCGGACGACATGGCGGCAGAAAGTGGCAGCGATTTGCCGCCGAGAAGGAGAAGGCGCCGGGACCCAGAGGAACCGGAGAGAGCGGAATTCGGCGAAAGAGAGGTGGCAGTGGCTGTGTCCCAAGAGAACGATGAGGAGAATGAAGAGCGCTGGGTTGGGCCTTTACCTGTGGAGGCAACACTGGCCAAGAAGAGGAAAGGTAGCTGTACCGATAGGGCCAGGGCAAATTGGATGCTGCCTCCGCGGAGTGGGAGGGTTGAGTTCAATCCAGACCCGAAGAGGGATGCTGTGTGTGTTGGTGGGGTTTTGTGCTCTCAGAACAGAGGGTCATCTTCTCACTTCTGTGGCCCTTCCGTATTTGCACGTCTTTCCGAAATCGTGGTTTGGGCTTAGTACTTAGTACGTAGCGTCTTTTTTACATTATCTAACACTTGATCACTGACTTGTTATAACAGATGTTAAAGCTAATATTTGCCTGTACTTATGTGCCTGGCTTCTCTCATCGACTCCCCACACCGGCCATATGAGGTTGGCATTTCTAACTCCGTTTGGCAGGTGTGGGAAAGAGTACTGGTCCTCTTTAAGACTTTAGTTCGTGAGTAGTGTTGATGTGTTGAGGCGTGGGAGGAAGGCAGTGCCTATTTAGAATATATAATAACCCTGACCCTTCCACTAATGAATTTTCTGATCTAAGGAAAGTTACTTAAGCTTCCTGGATGCCAGTTTTTTTTTTTCTTCCGAAATCAGAGGTCTGATTTTCAGACCACACTCATGAGATACGATGTGCTGAAGCATTTTGCCACTAACATGGAATAATGACAGATTAATGTCAAATAAAAGAGGTGGACAAAGGAGTAGATTAAGTTTTATTGTTTTCCAAATTTGTCTGTGAAATGTGTTTCTTAACATTTAAGACGATTCAAATGTGGTCTTTCTAAACTCAAATCTTTGTCCTCTCCATTACTTAAAACTCTTCAGTGATTTCTCATTATTTTCATAACACAGCCCAAACTCCTTAACATGGTATATGAAACCCTCTATGATATGGTCTCTTCTTACTTCGCTGGTTCATCTTTCATTATCCTCTTCCTTACTTTGTGCTGTAGCCATTCTAAACCACTTGAGAATGGACCGTGTACTGTTCCTTCTCTGGGTGCCTTCGCAGATATCATGGCATCTCTACAGGGAATGATTTCCCTCAATCCTTGCAATGGGCAACTTTTGTTCCACCTTTAGCACTTAACTGTCACCCTCTCTGGGAATCCTGTGACTCCTCCAGTCTGGACTGGATTTCTTAACTCTGAGCTAGTTTTACAGGTAGCCTTCAAATTTTATCTATCCAGATTTTGAAGAAGCTTGTGTGTGTGTCTGGACTGGATTTCTTAACTCTGAGCTAGTTTTACAGGTAGCCTTCAAATTTCATCTATCCAGATTTTGAAGAAGCGTGTGTGTGTGTGTGTGTGTGTGTGTGTGTGTGTGTGTGTGTGTGTGTGTGTGTCGGTGTCTCACTCTGTTGCCCAGGCTGGAGTGTTTTTATTTTTACTGTAGAGACGAAGTCTTGCCAAGTTCCCCGTACTGGTCTCAAACCTGCAGGCTCAGGCAGTCCACTTGCCTCGGCCTCCCAAAGTGCTGGGCTGAGACACCGATTTTTTTTAACATTATAAGTTGACACCCCTGAAGTGCACTGTGCTTTTTACTGCCGGTCCTCATGTTAAATATTTCTGTAGCAACATTTTTATTCATGGCACTTGCTGCAGTTTGTATATTTATTCATCTGTTGTTGTTGCCACGTTAAGACTGTAAGCATGTAAGAACTAGGATCATGCCTATTTTGCTCCATTGCTTGGTGTACACTGCTTTGCATATAACAGGTCTTCCCTAAATCTTTATTTAATGAATGAATATAATAATATTAATGCTATTATTTAACTATTTTGTTGCATAGGAATATTTTTAACGTGCTCTTTTTTCATTAAATGAGTGTGAGGGGAAATAGAAAAATCCGGAAATACTAAAATGCTGATACTAGTGTTGGGAGACAAGTGTCTTTTAAACTCAATAATTGAGCCAGAAATGGAAATTGTTAGATGTGAAAATAGTTATTAAACTAGCCAATGGTGTATTTTGTTTGAAGAAAACTTGAAACTAAAGAAAAACTATGAAATGTTAGAAAAATATCATTGAACGATTTGTCTAAAACAACCCCCAGAGGTTTAATACTTTTAGCTTTCTAGAAATGGAAATTTCTTCATATTATAGAAAATAACAAAATAGCAATTGTATTAAAAATATAGAGGTGTACTTTTTTGTGTGTAGAAGACATTCCAAGGTAGGCAGTCCAGGATTTGTGTGGAGGTTCCAAATGTTCCTAGACTCTTCCCAGCTATCAGCTCTGACATAACTAGAGTGTTGCCATTCATTGTTCTGAATGATTATTAGAATTACAGCAGTCATATCCGAGTTCCAAGCTGTAGGGTTGAGGAAGGGAAGAAGGGCCCACTTTCAAGGAGATTTTCTGGCTGCCACAAAACACTTTCACTTTTATCTCATTAGCATTGGGCAAGCCTCAAATATGGAAAGGTGAGAAGGGTCATGTTATAGCTAGGTATTAGTATACCTACATATAAATGGGCATTGTTACTTAAAATGAAGGGAAAAGTAGTTTGTCAGTTACA